TCTCATCAACTTTTCCAAAATTCCACATATTCCTTTGGGCATTTTAAACACCGAAAAAAAGTATACAGGCAGATTTGTCAATGTGGACTTAATCAGGGTTATTCTACCTCCCATGGATAGGTAATTTTTCTTCCAAGATGCTAACCTCTTAGTGAATCTCTCAATCACCAGGTTCCAAAAACTCTTTTTACTTGGGTTATCCCCTAGTGGCAGCCCCAAATATGTCAATGGTCAATGAGCGATCTCACAACCCAAAATTCGGGCTCTATCCTCCACCTCACTTTCACTCAAATTAATGCCAATCACACAACTCTTTTCTAGATTCACTTTAAGATTTGTCACATGTTCGAAGACATTGATCACTTGCTTCAGATTACTCACCCAACTTACCTCATCCCCACCACAGAAAAGAATTGTGTCATCAGCAAACTGTAGATGTGTTACTGGAACCCTATTCCTCCCTACCCTCCAACCTTTCACCAAGTTTCTAGAGTCTGCCCTCTCAATGAGTTTTCCTAGGAGCAATTAGGGTAAAAAGAAAAGGAGAAAGGGGGTATCCTTGTCTGATGTCCCTAGTAGCCTGGAAATGGTCCATCACCCTACCATTCACTAAAATGGAATAGTGGCAAGTCCTAATACATCCTTTCACCCATTTGCACCACTTCTGCCCAAATCCAAAATACTCTAAGGCTTCCAATAGAAATGACCAATCCACCAAGTCATAATCCTTTTCGAGATCCAATTTGCATACGAGCCCTTTCTTCCCGCTTCTTTTGAAATCTTCCACACTTTCATTTGCAATTAGGATTTGATCCACGATTTGTCTGTTCTTCACAAAGGCACCCTGATTTGGGGAAATTATTAAGGGTAGTACCTCTCTAATCCTCCGAGAAAGCACCTTAGCAATGATTTTATAGAGGTTGTGTACCAAACTAATGGGTCTGAACTCTTTGGGATGACAAGCATCTCCCTTTTTTGGAATCAGAGCCAAGAAGGTAGAGTTTAGACCTAGATTAATCACCCCTCTTTCAAAGAATTCAGAAAAGACCTTTTGAATATCCTCCTTCAGTATCTCCCGGCAATCTTGATAAAAAGCCACCGTAAATCCATCAGGACCAGGTGCTTTAGATCTATTCATTGAAAATATGGCTACCCTTATTTCTTCCAATTCAAAGCTTCTCTCCAACCACACCCTTGATTCTTCTAGGATTCTTGGCCACTCCAAACCCTCAATCTGTAATCTGTTAGACATAGGCCTTCTAAAGATTGATTTAAAATGGTCCACAAAGGCCTCTTCAATCTCCTCTTGCCGAGTCAGTATTGCATCGTTAATCACTAGCTTAGAAATCAAGTTCTTATTTGGTATTCATTCCTAAAAAAGTGGGAGCTGAATCTACAGATCATTACTATCCAATTAGTCTCTGTAATGTCATCTATAGGATAATTGCTAAAGTCCTGGCAAATAAGCTAAAGCTTCTCTTGCCAAAATTAATCTCTCCAAAACAGGCAACCTACATAAAAGGAAGAAACATTTATGATAATGTTATTCTTGCCAAAGAAATAGTCCATAAATTGAAGCATCAGAAAGGGAAACAAAAATGGGCTATGTTAAAACTTAAAAATTGATCCTTTGATAGGATGGTGTGGAGCTTCTTAATTGAAACTCTTAGAAAATTGGGCTTTCTAGCAAAATTGTGTAACTTAATAAGTCAATGTATTTCTACAACTTCTTTCTCAATCAAACTAAATGGCAGCTCTTTTAGTTTCTTTCATACTAAAAGAGGACTTTGTTAAGGGGATCCTCTCTCTCCTTATCTTTTCATTATAGGAATGTGGTTCTCTCCAAACTTCTTGAAAGAGAAGAATTTTGAAGGCAGACTTCAGGGGATTAAACTTGCCAAAAATTCTCAACCCCTCACTTGTTATTTACAGATGATTGTCTCCTAGTTTGCAAGGCGTCTCCAGATTCTCTTCAGGCATCAAGCAGGCACTAACTCTTTTCGAGAAGATTGATGGTCAACAAATCATCTACAATAAATCCGACATTATCTTCAGAAAGAATGTTCACAGAACCCACCAAAAGATTCTTTGCAGATTTATGGGCATGAAGATCATGAACTTTAGTGGCAAGTACTTAGGTTCTTAGATTGATGAAGAAAGAAACAAAAGTAAGCCTTACAAAGAAGTTCTTACGAAAGTGAAGAACAAGCTTGAAACTTGGAAAGCCAAGGTGCCATCACAAGCTGGCTGGAACACAATGTTACAATCAGTAATTCAAAGTGTTCAGCCTATTTGGTGCTCACAAATATACTACCTAAGAAAGTTCTACAGAAACATGAACAAATGCAGAGGAACTTCTGGTGGAAAGGAGATAAAGAGAAAAGTTCGGGCCACAACACTTCATGGAGAAAAATTTGTAGGCCAAAAACATAGGTGGCTTGGGACTGAGATTAATCGAACCTATGAATAAAGCGCTTTTTGCAAAGCAGCTCTGGAAAATGTTTGAGGAAGGGGAAGCAATTTGGCAAAGACAATTAAGAGCAAAATATTTGAAAAACAAGTCTTTTTGAGGTTAAAGCAAAACAGTCTCATTCGAGGTGGTGGAGAAATATACTAAAAGTAAGAGATCAAATATCCTCGCACCCATGTTGGAAGATATGGAAAGGAGATAAAATCAACCCTCTTGTGGACCCTTGGATCCCATGGCTGCCGAATAAAAACCCCTCTGCTAGCTGGTCAAGAACATCGGACTTGGACTGTAAAAGACCTCATTACAGAAAATTGGGAATGGGGTACTTAGATCCTACATCAACTCTTTGAACCTAGTACAGTGGAAGCAATTTGCAATATCCCTATCTCTCCCCATCAGACCAAAGACACCATGCTGTGGAAAGGATCAAAGAATGGAGTTTACACAGTCTGCTCTGCTTACAGAAGCTTTAATCCAGATGATGGAGAAGGAACCTCAAGATCCCTCATTCGATGGCCCAAGCTTTGGATGGTGAAAGCTCCTTATAAATGTCAAATGTTTGGGTAGAAGATTCTGATGAACAAAGTAAAAACAAAACAAGCAACCTGGCATTCAAGACAGACGGGAGATGTATATTGCTCTTTTGCAATTATGCTCCTGAAACACAATCTCACCTATTCTTTGAATGTAGTCTAGCAAGAGATGTCTGGTTAGAAGCTCAAGTTAGCTTTAATCCTAATGAATTTATCTCTTCAGCATCCTTGGATTTTCTAGACTGGTGGTCGAAGAAAAACTTTGAACCAAAAGCCTTGAGGGATCACTTTATGGCTAGAATTCTAGCCATCCTTCGCAGCCTTTGGGATCATAGGAACGATGTTAGAGAGTGCTACAAATCTCACTCTCTCTGAGTATTGGTTTTCTTTCTCTTCTCACTCACTAGTTGTAGTGGGTGGCTCTTGGAACACAGGCACCCGCACAACTTCTACAGGACTCTATCTATTATCTTATACACATAATGTTTGCATTGCAGAAGGATGCCATGCCAATGATGCCTCAAAAGCTGAACTCTAGGCAATCGTCAAAGGCTTAAGGAAACTAGCTCTTTTGGGGATTCACAAAGCAGCTCTAACTTCTGATGCTAAAGACATTTGGATGCAGTTAAAAGGAGCCACAAGAAACATTAGATGGAATGGCCATGCACTCTTGGATCATATTGACTATCTCCTCACTCTTTTTGATGACATAAATCTGCTATATGTCCGTAGGGATGATGTTACTAAGGCACATAACATAGCTAAGAAAGTGAACGTAAATAGAACTTACCTTTTTTGTTCAAAACCACCCCCTTAAGATCATCCCCTCAATTCTGTAAAACGGGCTCCTTTTGTATCCTTGATGTTTCTAGTGGATCCTATTACTAAAAAAATGTTCATATATCCACACCATACACAACAAAGTAAAAACAATACCTGATATCGAAGCTTTTCAGGCCATGGGGCCGCAAAGGCTCTCCTGAATCCTTGCTTTATTTCTGCCACTGTCACACTCAAACCTATAAAGATTGAGGGAGGGAGGGGGGGACATGTCAAGCCATTTGACACCGAGACCAAGCAGTTCCACTCAACAATTGCATAGAAAAATAATTTTAAAAGAGGCAATAAAGAAAGGGCTTACCTGACACAAGGAATCAGTACAATTACCCATGGTCTAACACCCAAAAGTCACATCAAGAGGGCTTTAAATCATAAGAGGGAATGAGGGATATAATATAATATAATATATATATATATATATATATATTCCAATAAAATCATATGTAAATATATAATACCCTAAAATCAAAACATATCACAACAAATATTAGCATATAAAAATTTGAGGAAGAGAATGTAACTTTTGTAGGACTAACACTTAAATAAACCTGTTTTAGGGGTAACGATTAAAAAAATCTGTTTGGTAACAGAAGAACTACATTGTATCTTAAGTACTGAAAGCATAGAAAAAGTTAGGAAGAAAATGTAATTTTTGTAGGACTAACATTTAAATAAACCTGTTTTGGGGGTAATGGTTAAAAGAGAAAATCACTTTAGTATCAGAAGAACTACATTGCATCTGAACTCTGTAGTACTGATTACTGAATTTGGAGTAAAAAACGGTAATAGGAAGTTCCTTCGTCTCTGAAACTTGAAAACAAAAAGCCACCAGGCGACAGTCCAAGAGTACGTAAGCAACTCTACTGACCATATTTCCTCCCGATAGCCCCGTACGTCTCCTCAACAGGCTTTGCCAACTGCAGAAGGGTACCCCCGGCATCCAATAACAATGCATCATAAGCCTTCCTATGTGATCCTCCATCTGCAAAAAGAGAGTGGCGCATGTTAGGTCGTCATAATAATATGGATGGTAAAGTGTACTACGAGGACTGTAGGCAACTATAACCAGAGATCGATCGGCTTGGTTCAACAGCCCAGGACTTCTCCGATGCAGGTTAGATTGCGGTGAATTCTGATACGAAGGGGGGCAATTTGAAGACCTGATAAGTTAGGATCTTTGATTGGTTTCAGTTAGAAAATGGTAAGAATCCCTAGTTAAAGGTGTGCTGCAAGGACCGAGCTGAGAAAAATTAACAAAGAGAATCAGCGTTCAGATGGATTTGTTACGGGGAAAAGCGAATCTTTTTCATAAAGTGACACAAATGGTTGAACGTTTTTCAGTAGTAGAAAACTAGAGAATCCTGTAGTTGAAGGGTTCCAACCTGTATGAACCGCCATGGAAGAGCATACAATCGATTTCGATAGCTTAATATTCTTCAAAGGTTTCTCTCCTAGCAGGAGTGCTCTTGCAGAGCATTTCGTCCAGAAAGCTTCCATCTCTGTCAGTTGGGGAAGAAAACAACGAGCCTAAAAGGAACATACCTTAACCGTTCGATCCGTATAAAAACCAGAGTAGTACCAGTTGGTGGCTTGGTGCACAACTCTAAGGCCCCATTTAGTTCGCAGGAACAGGGGTCCGGAATCGGAATGGAATGGATATTCCGATTCCAATTATTTGATTGGGCGGAGTTGGAATTTTATTCCTGTAAAATGGCATTCTAGGGAATGGTCATTTCCTACCCTTCGCTTGCGAATTTTCATCCCTACTGATTCTAATTTTTATTTATATTATTATTTGAATCAAATAAATTATAATAATAAATTATTCCAATTCCAATTTTAAAAGTATTTCGATTCTAATTCCGATTCCAATTTCAGTTATAAATCAAACGGACCCTATATCTCTAACATATATGATCATATTGGCTCTCACATGTAGCTCACAATACATTCTAACATCCCAACGGTGCATTGACCATCACATGTATGAAAAATGTTTTCAATACATGCTGAGAGATGTGTTATGGGAGGCTAGGAGTATGTATGAGGTGTACAAAACTTCTAAAAGGTATTTATCAAAATTTCCAAATTTTGATTGATAACAGGGCCGTTAAAATGGACTGAGCTTGGGTTGAAAAATTGAACTGGATACGATCCGCCCCAAGAATATTGAAAAATTGAACCCAAACTAAGTGATCGATGCAATAGTTGGGCTCATATCCATATAATATGAAATAATCTTGCATGTGTGGGTATAGGATATATCGGAGGAAACTAAACCAAATCTACAGATTAGTCTCCTCCAACTCAGGACTTTTACTCCGTCATTCTTCTTGATGCTCGCTCCTCTTTTCCTTAGTGGAGGTCGGAAGTGAGATGTGGGAGGAAGGACGCCCCATGCCCATTACTGTTGTCATGGTTCAGTATCCTCCAACTCTTACTTACGGCCTCCTCTTCACTTACTTGCTCTTCCCACTTCCCGTCCCCCCCCCCCTGAGCCGCATGGCAAACAAGAAAATCACCCAGATGCATGCATCTCCTGAGGGAAGAATCTTCAACAACCTCCAAGTTCACACCTTGCAGCCATTAAAATGACAAATCTAACCCTTGGTTATTAAAAATTTAACATAGATATACAAGAACGCTACCTACACTGTAGCCACACATCAGGGACTGCTATACTGTCCTCTGATAATGTGGGTAGCATATCCGGTCATCATTTAACACCAAAGTATTATATATGAACTACTACGGTTGTCGATACCCGACCCAAATGTGTATTTACATCGATTATCGATGTTTAATTATACTCTATCCAAATGCCTATAAATATGGATAAGAGTGTTTAATGACACTGATCCATATTTACACCGCAAACAAATGCAATCATAGGGTCTGATTTAATTCTAGGTCATGTCAGTTTTGATTCTACTTGGACTTGACCTGTTATGTATGTGTGTATGTTTTAAACCATACCTTTTTTTCTTGGGAGCATGTTTATTTATTTCACTTAAGTGAAACGTTCACTAATCTTGCCCCCTCTATGGATAAGTGCAACTCTCTTTCCACCTAACCCATTCATCTTTCACACAATTTTGGATTTGTTCCTCACAAAGTGCATCTCACACCAACCTCACAATATGTTCTGATCATACATCGGGAACATCTCCCTTACTTGTATTTATTATTCAGGGGAGATGTTCCCAATTCAGGGTGGGATGTGGCTATGAGGTCGGTGTAATGCATACTCTGTATGGAACAAATCACAATTCCTCCACATACATTTATGGCATCTAGACCTGTTCATAGGCCGGGGTGGGCCAAGCATTGTCTCTTTATAAATAGAAAGTCACCAAGCTCGAGTCCGAGCCCAGCTTGACCATCGGACCTAGATCTTGAGCTCGAGCCCGACCCTATATAAAACCCGAAGCCTAATTTTGACATGTATTTTATAATATATTAATTATATATTATTAAATAACACATTATATGATATTTTATACATTTAATATATATAATACTTTTTTGCTATTAATTTTATTATTATATAATATATATTATATATTATTAAGACATATATCATATTTCTATTATATATTTAATATTATTGGACCTGGCTCAGGCTCGGGGCAAGCTTATTTGGGAAAGCTCGAGCTTGAGCCTACAAACTTAAAATTTTGTCCAAGCACAGCTTATGATGGATTAGGTTGGGCCAATCCGTCAAACTACCCAGCCCATGAATAGATCTAATGGCATCCCAATCAAAAGTAGCACAAGAATATAGGTTTAATGAATCGACTACATAGAGTGAAGTTGAAGAATAGACCTTCATTGAACTATGGTTGATCAAGTGGGAAGGCTCACAATAGACCGACCTCAACATTTAATAAATATATAGTGGAAAACTTCAACACGAGAATGAACAAGTCATATGCCCGTGACTGGTTCAAAATCAAGTAAGAGACACATCAATTTCCAACAAATTTTGCAACCACACAAGATTACAATAGATTCACTCACCAAGAAACCAACTAAGAGTGTTTAGTGAGAGTGCTATAGTTTTTTTTTCTAGATATTTATAAGGAGTTTTTGTTGATGGGATGCTAACAACAACCTAATATACTTCATTAGAAGTATAAGTGAACAAAAGAGATAAGGAAGAAATTTTGTATTGTTGTTGGCATCCCATGTTACAATGTTTATTGGAGGTAGTCTCAATTACCAAACTTTGGGGGAGGTTTTAGCAATTTACTTAAAAATAAAATAAAATAAATAATTTATTAAAACAGCTCTTGTAGTTTCATGAATCACTAAAAGCTTACTCTATAGTTTGGGTTTTATTAGAACACCACTTGTAGGTTGCAATTGATTTAATTAATTGATTATTTGTTAATTATTGTTTGTATTTCTGATCAAACGGAATACTTTAGGGTCAAAAATGAGATTTTCTTGTTCTTTTTCATTAAATTTGTTCAAATAGACATTAAGGCCAAAATTGTCACTTTTCACTTCCGTCCAACGGAAAGTTAATTAAGTAAGTCGGTTGTATAATATAGGGGTATTTTAATAAAATGCAAATTATATAAACGGTTTTAGTAAATTTATAAAACTATAAAAATCTTTCAATAGAGGACAAATTTCATAAACTACCCTTATGGTTTAGCTAATTGACCAACTCTACCTTTATTACTTATATATTATCTTAAAGTAACCCAAGTTTTTTAACAATTGATATCGCCATTAAAAAATAAACAAAAAAATGAAATATCTAAATTACCCTTTATTATTCATCCAAATTTCAAAATAAACCCTAATCGATGAAAAGATCTCAGAAAACCAACTTCTAAGTCCACTGTGCCTCCACCTCTATATGAAAGCAATGGAGCAATGCACCAATCAATAATGGGCGAGGTTGTTCTTTGCTCTCTATAAATTCCAGACTATTGAGTCTCTCTTTCTTCGTGCAAAACCCATATTACCTTTCTTTGAAATACGACAATCAAATTGTATAGAACATAGCTCAAGCACTGCCTTTCCACACAAACTTTCATCAAATTAAGATTGCCTTGGCAGCAAACCCGCTCCTTCAAGAGCATTAGGACCCAATAAAGCTGAAATGACAATCTCTCTTCGTCAGAACCACGTATTGGGGCTGAGGTGCATCCCGATCCAATACGAAATACAAAATTATTGGTGATCTGGTGGGTCATGACTCTACTACATGACATGCAAAGGTTGACATGGAAGAAGAATAAGAAGAAGAAGACACATGTCTCATTACTAATGGAGCAACACAGATTTTCAGAGAAAAAAAAGGGAAAATTTCCTATTAGTGCCCTGTACTTTGTGCCTAGTGCCACTTTGGTCCCCCAACTTTAAAATGCAATAATTCAGTATCCAAACTTTCAAAACATGACAATTTAGTACCTGTCATTAATCAACAGTTAATCTGTTGTTAAGTGGCATTTGAAAAAGACATACATGCCCTTCGAATGTCATTTAATTTTCTTTATCAACCATCTAAGCATTGATAAAAAATTAATAGTATCAAATCTTTGCTTCTTCCATTCAAGAAAGTTGGGGTTTACGTTTGAATGGGCATTCTGGTGCCCCCAACTTTCTTGAATAGAAGAGTTAAGTATTTGAGACTATTAATTTTTTTGTCAATGTGTGGTAGTTGATAAAGAAAATTAGATAACACTCGAAGGGTATTTCTATCTTTTTAAAATGTCACTTAACGGCTGATTAATGGTTAGTTAACGGCATGCATTGGATTGTCATGTTTTGAAAGTTTGGGTATTGAATTGTCGCATTTTTAAAGTTATAGGACCAAAGTGACACTAGACCCAAAGTACAAGGTACTAATCTGGAATTCCCCCCTCCCCCCCCAAAAAAAAAAAATAAAAAATAAAAAATAACAGATTTCTCATTTAAAAAGGCTTTACCTCCCCGAAATGAGAGAAACCACAAAGGAGAGCGGCTTGGAGTGGGCCAAGTAGTGTTGTGTGCGATTATACATCCCACTTCTCCAATTTAATGAAAGAAGAATAGGGTGGATGGTGTGTTTTCAGCAAACCATTCGAGTAATATAGGGGAAACCATTCCAATAATATAAATAGGGGTGTAAATGGATCGAATTTGAATTGGATCAGGCAATATCTGAATTTGAATCCAATTAAAAAATCCGATATCTGACAGATATTGAAATTAATATCCGAATTCGAATCCGATTAAGTATTTGAATATTCAATTCGATTAGATTCGAAATCGATTAATTAATTATTTTAGATAATTAATAAATATATAAAATAAATATTTTGTTGATATAAAGTWTATAAATATATAAATTATTTATATAATTTAATTATTATATATAAATTGTATAAAATATTTTATATATTATATATAATTAAATAATCGATCGAATTCAGATATTTATCGAATCGATTAAGATCATATCCGAATTCAAACCCAATTAACTATTCGGTAAGAATAGGATATCTGAATTCGACTAATTAAATATTTGAATTATCTGAATTTGATTTGATTATGTCGAATATCGAATTTTCGAATACCATTCACACCCCTAAATACAAGTGCCTTCCATGAATCGAGTAAAGAAAAAAAAATTGTTTATTCCTTAAACAAAATATTAAGAAATGGAGACGTTGACTACAAATGTACGCATTGTAGCACTCCACGTTGTGATCCATAAAAACCTAAACTCGGACGGATGGTGCTTCAAACTTACAGAAAAATACAATAAATTGAAACAAAGGAGGATTTGTTGTTAGAGAAATTGACAATATAGGCACGTAGAACAGAGATGGTGAGATCTAGGGAAGTCGACCGGTGGGAATGGCACGCGGTGGCACGTCTGCAGCTTCTGTTGCCATTGGGACATTGTGTGGAGGAGAGTCGAACTTCCAAAACCTATATTCTCTTTACGATTTATCCCACCTATTCATCCTCAGAAGATTTAAACATGTTAAAGAAAAAATGAGAAAAATATGAAGAGAGAGGATGAGAAAACAATTATAGAGTTAATCGATTAGCTAATTGATTAACTCTGTTTAATATGTACATATTGTCTAAAACCTCTCTTATCGTTAATTTTTCATTATCTGAGAGTTCCAATTCTAAGAATAAGACTATGCATGCTATCAGGTGATATAAAGAACAGACACCCCACAACTACAACAATTATAGCATGGTGGGAATGTTCATGTGGATATGGAGTCGATGCTAGAATCATCCTGACCCTCTCCATTTTGAGGTTACCCAGTAAACAAAGAGACTGCTTATTGGAACCCACTGAACACTGTCACAACCATTCACATTGCATAGCTTGCTTCAAATTCTTGTAAATGAATTGAACCTAGTAGGATGCACATCTAGCATAGAGAAAAGCTTTTAGACCTTGATTTGGAATTCAAATATAGAATCTATAAGACTATGTTTGGTTTGAAGGAAAAGATAGGGAAAGGAAGGTAAATTTAGGAAAACCTATATAAATCTTGTATAAAATTCCCTATATTTTCCTTCATTTCCCTATTTTTTTCCTTCAAATCAAACACAGCCTAAAGGAATAATTTTACACTTCCATCCACATATGCCAAAATTTAGAATAGCATAATATAAGAACTATGATACTCCTTATGGCGATTAAACTTCAAATTCATTTATTGGAAATGGCATAGACATCTCCGTGGATCATGACGTATATTCTCAGACAAGCCTTGCACATTCTCCCCTGCCCCAAACGGTCCTTGTTCTCTTCCAATTTTCAACCTCCCGCATCCTCACTTTTCTTTTCTCTTTTTTGTTCTCATTTTCCAATAGCCAATCAGGTCCACGCAGCTTCAGATTGTTCACGTTCTATATCCCCATTTGATTGGATTTCAGATGGGTGGATCCAAATCTTTCGTCTCCATAGAATATGCCATTTGTGATCATAGTCGATTGTACAGGAGTGGCTGAAACAAATGAATAGATATTGCTGCCCGTTACAACTGCTTACCGTTGTTGACCTGGATAGTGATCACTGAATAGTTTATCCGATTGTCAATTGCAGTCTTATTTGCCTTGCCTTTTCTATTCAAAAAAATTAGAGTCACCAAAATGCTCATTCAAACATGACTCTAATTTTATTGTATAGAAAAGATAAAGATTTGACACTATTAATTTTTTGTCAACATTTAAATAATTAATAAAGAAAATTAAAAAACACTTAAAAGATATTTATGTCTTTTTTAAATATCACTTAATCACTTAAAGCATATTAAGTTTTAAAAGTTTTATTGAATCGTGACATTTTAAAATTCGGTGACCAAAGTTGCACTAACTATAGTAATCGGGTGGAGAGTACTATTCGGCTTAACAGCTAGATAAATATAAATAGTATGGATAGAATCAGTCAATTAAAGAAACCAGAAGGATACTTTAAGATATTTGCCCTTCAATAAAAGACGTAAAAGAGAAGGTAAACGGTGAATCGGTGACCTCCTGCGAGCAAAAGCTCTGCTTACATAACATCTTCACGGGGAGATGTTCGCAATGAGCGGTTCGATTCCCATCTTCACCGTGTATGCAGAGTTTTGCTTGCAGGGAATCCCGTCGCGCACCCGTGGAACTGTGGAAGACGGAAGACGCTCTTCGCAGGTGGTAACTGGATTCTGGACCCGGGAATATCGTATAACACGAGGTACCTCCCCAATTTATTAGATCACGAGCGACTCCATGAGATTATAAACTATAACGCTCACGGTTCTCAGAGACTCAGATAACCGGACTGCCAGAAACGAAGAGATATCAACCGGAGATCCGACCATCCTGAAGATTCACGAATACTGCAACTTTAAAACCTTAGGTTTTCTTTATTTCAGGTCGTCTACTTACAACGGAAATGGTGAAATCCATTTGTAGTACGTTTAATTCCTTTCATTTGGCCCTAATTTATCATTTACTGTTATCATTATGATCAAAACGTCAATCGTTTTTACTTTTATGTTCCGTAGAAAATAAATTGCGATAATTGTGGGCAATCCATGGATTTTGAATGTTATGACTCGATCTAAGAATAGCGTTCCATTAATAAGACAGTGATTAAAAATTCTCTTCACCTGTTAGATTGCATTTTCCAAATGATATATTGGTTCTTGTATGAAATTGGTTTTCTGTTCTATACATTTTTATTGAAAACTAATGGCATGGGGCAATTATATGTGCTTAAATTTAAAGATATTATGTATTCTATCCATGAATTTTGAAGTACCAGTCTTTTTTGTTTCTAATACGTATTTATTGTTTTTTTTTTTCAGACGAATGGTTATGAGCTGAGTTGAGCCTTAGCCTTGGGAGAGATGTTGCGATGGCTTTCTAGGCGTGGTAGCGAACCGTTGCCGGAAGGAAGAGAAAGAGATACCACTGGTGCAGTTATTAGGACACATGATCGAAATGATTATGGTTTGCGGGTGCGTCGAGGAAGAAAATATGGTCGGGTCACTAGGCAGAGGCTTTCATTTTGGACGTCCTTGGTAGCATTGTTTTTTCTGATGTATTTATCGGTCTTTGGCACAAACTTGCCATTTCATGGTGAGAATTAAAGGCATTGATTTTTATTTAGAATTCTGTATTTTTTTTTTTCAATTTAGAATCTTTCCAACCTCATGCATAACAGTTTTTTCTTTTTGGCCATTAATCTGTAATCCATGTATATGGTGACAATGTAAACAAAGATGATTCAAAGATAAAATCTAGAAACATCGGTTTGTTTTTCACTGGCCAAGTTTGCTTCTAGAAGTTGAATTACACAACATTGACTCATCTAAATTTTTACTATTTATTTATTAACTTGGAATTTTCTTCTAATTATATTCTTGTTCAACATATAAAATGTTGTACCTTGGATGAACCATCCAATGATGGAGTAATTAGAGAGAATGTTTCTCATAGAATTAGTGCAGGGTGGTTGTAACAGAAAGGTGCATCCAATGTGATGTGCGACTAGAATATACCAATGAGACTAAAAGGTAATTTAAAGTGCTGGGCAATAAAAAAACATGCTCGAAAAAATTGTGACTTAGATGAGAATGTTGAAATGGATGAGTGGTAAGACTGGAAGGGATGGAATAAGAAATGAGTGCACTAGAAGGGACTTAGGAGTAGCTCCAATTGGTAACAAGGCAAGGTAAATCAACTGAGATGGTTCAGTCGTGTGTAGATGATCAATTGCTACACAAAAAGGAGTGAATTAGTGCAAATAGATATTGTGGTTTAAAGTTGTAAAAAAGGATTTAAAGGCTTATAGTTTGACAGAAAACATGGCTCTTAATAGAGCACAATGGTTGGATGGGATTTGTATAGTGGATTCCAATGGTTGGGATTAAGGTTGAGTTGAATTGAGTCTATTAAGAATGCTCTTGATTTTTTACATTAAGCTCTGTGGAGACACCTGAGAGATCATCAGGTACATAGTTGTAAATGCCAATATTACTGAGCTATAATTCTTTATATATTTTTGAACTCGATCTCTTCATAAGTACATTAAACATTTATTATCTTTTGTTGGCAGTTGGCACCATGGATTGCAATTTATTAATTTATTATTATTATTTTTAGGTAAAATGGAGGGAAACACTTCATCTACAAGGGATGTACACCACAACACTTCAAGATTGGATGTTTTAGAAAAGCCAAAACATCGGAAGAAATGTATGGTTTACTTTTGCCTCTTTTGATTGTGTGCTTAGTATATTTAAGCATTCTTCTTGTTCAAATATTTATTTCTTAATGAATTAAAATATCCAAGTGGTAGTTGTTGTGGTGGTTTTCTTCCATGACCTGAGTTGAGTTGCCTTTTGCATCCTTCCTTACAAAAGTAAAAATAAGGCACTTCTTTCTATGCTAAATACACAAGTTAAGGTTCCATAATATACGCATACACATGAAGCAATGCGTTTTTAAGCATTTATGAACCATGCTACTTGGGCTAAACATAAAAATTAACTAAACTTGGCCTTTTCATTTGACAATGTTCTTTTGTTTACCAAGTTAAAACTGCCTTGTATTAATGAAAGTTCTATGGTCTTTTATGGTTAGTTTTCCCTAGATGACTACACCATAAAGTTCTGGTGATAAATTCACAATTCAGGCAAGAAAAAAAAATAATTCAGACAACATGGTACTTTATCTTATAGTTAATAAGTTATAACTAATTTTGTGATTAGTAACCTTGCCTACCAGAAAGTTACGTTCTTTTATTTTCCCTTGCTTCATGCAAGGTTGACATTTTATTTGTAGAAAAAGAAAACAAAAGTTAGGAAGAGGCACACTCAAACTTTATCACCTAAACCATATTTGATCAGTGAATTGTCAAGAAGAAAATAAATTGTCGTTTATTAAAGAGTGATTTGAGCAATCATAAAATAAGAATACAATGTTATTCCTTGCTTTAAGTTCATGTTACATGTAATATACTCAAGATTGTTGTCATATGCATGATTTTATTCCCTTATTACTGATTTGCTTGTGGTTGAGAATACTCGTTTCTCAGATAATTCAACTCCACATCTTTCAGATTTTCCTTGTGAGGTTGGATTTGTCAAGTCAGTTGATAATCTTGTGGAGCCCAAGGATTTCATGAATTTCACAAAATTTACCCTGACATATATTGATAGAGAGGAAAAATATCATAGTCATGATGCCTTTGAAGCCAGATTTGGAGGACACCAGACCCTTGAAGAAAGAGAGGAATCCTTCTATGCAAGAAATCAAACACTTCACTGTGGCTTTGTCAAAGGACCAGAGGGATCCCCAAGCACTGGGTTTGATTTGTGTGAGAATGACAAGGAGTACATGTCTACCTGCCATGTTGTTGTATCATCCTGCATTTTCGGAAGTTCTGACTATTTGAGGAGACCAACAAGCAAAAAGGTATCTGAGCTATTTTACAGTATGCATTATTGTAGATTAGAAATTAATTTGATTGGTTAAATTTTGTTCAAGTGTGTATTTGTTTTTAAGGAATGCATAAATTACTTTCTACCAAGGTTCAAAATATCAATACAGCCCGATATGCCAGTAGGGACATATCGGACTGTATCGGGGCTCACTCCCTTTTTTTTAGTGTTTTTTTAAACCTGGTTCAGAGCGCTCGGTTTAAGGCCTGTCTACCCCCTGAACCGGGTTAAACCCTGAAACACCCCCTGTAGGGGTGTATGGGAAGCCCCCGGTACATATTGAAATTTTGAACCTTGCTTTCTACAAGTGTAGTGCTATTTTTGACTTTCAATTAGGATTTTTAGAGTTGTCTCCTTTGTTTCCCTGTTTTGTGATCTTCAATTTTCATTTTGCAGGGGAATTCTTTTTTTTTTTTTATAACAATCATGGTTATAGTCTTATAGATGTCTAGGGTCCATGAACTTTTTTGTTTATATTACTTATCTTCGTATATGGAAAATATTTCTTACGCCCCTAGAAATTTCACAAGTGTATACTGATTAATACAACCTTTAGTGCTTTCTTTAAGACTTCAGTTTTATTCTTTGCCCATCTAGTTCAGCATATATCATTTTTCTCTCTATTTCTGAATTGTGTTTTGCAGATTATAATATCCTAGTGCTGCAATGCTGATAACAAATAATTGCAAAATAACAACAACTTCTTAGGTTACACGTTATAGTTATCATTGATTATCTACATGGTTGGTATATTGCCAATGGTTTGATTAATGAATGCATAGCATGGTTTTCGTACCACCGTTGACCTGTACGGTCGGACCGTTCGGCCCGGGAACCGTCTAGGCAACCGGTTCCGTTTTACCCCAAACCCAGTCCCTGGCCAAAACCGTTGAATTGATCAACGACCCATTGGCCTGGGTGGTCGAATCGCCAAACCTCGACCTGTTCAACGGTTTTTGGCCTTTTATTTTTAATTATTATTTTTTTTAATTTTTGTTGTCAGAATGGGCCATTCGCTCGAACCGTCGACCCGGAAACCGGTGGCCAGAACGTTTCCGTTTCTGGGTCGTTTTTCAAAACTATGATGCATAGTGAGGTGGATGTGTGTGTGTGTTTCTTTTTATTATTATTATTATTCATAGGAAAATCCTGTTTCCATTCAACTCAAAAAGCACAGGGACAGGTCTCCCTCCATGAATGACTGTGGCAAGCTGAACCTGACAATCCTAACTTTGGCCAACAGCAGTGTGCCTAATTGGAGATAAACCACAACTACTAAACTAATGTAAATGATTTAGTACAGTCAAAACATCATGTTTGGTTTCCATGATCTGGACACCCATCAATACAGCCATATCAATGGCTTTTCAAATGGCCAACTCCTCTCCAAGCTTAGCTGAGAAATATCTTGTTTCCTTGGTTTGGGCAGAAACGACACTGCTTGCTGTGTTTCTGAAGATTATTCTCAGGTCTAAAATTTTGATCAGATCTTTCTACACCATGTCTACATTTCTTTTGTTGGGGCTTCCACTTGATCACAATTCACAAGGGTGGTGGTTGGTTTCAGTGGTGCTTATCTTTGGGTAGAATGCCTTATATCACAGTAGCCATTCTTTATCCATAGAGGCAAACAATCTGGTTAGGAGGTTTTCTACATGAAAATAAACATCTGTGAGGTCTTCAAATGTTTAAGACTGCAGTTTGCCTTTTTACTTGTAGGTGCTTCTGTGCAAGGCTAGTTGTGAGACCACTTTCCATTAACTAATGCGCCATAACTTTGTTCTGGTGTTTGGAAGCACTGCTTTTCTTTTTCGTTTAGGTTGGAGTATCTATTTTTTTTTTTGTGAAAGATTTGCAGAGCCTATCCCCCCACCCCCACCCCCCAACTCACCCAAAGGGGGAAGAATTTAATGGAGATTTACATTGTGGTCAATATGTGAAGAAAGGAATCCAAGAGTCTTCTGTAATAAGGACAGATTCAACAGAATAATGAAGGATGCAATTGACTTTAGTAAATGCACTGTTTAAAAAACTACAGCTGAGTTCTAGATCTTCAAGGCAGATGGCATTATCAAAACTTGCTGGTGAATGGCAGCTAACTCCATTAAAGGTTGTAACTTCTATGGACTGGGTTATACTCTGAAGGGTTCTAAATCAAAGAGATGCTTGATATAGCACTCCATTCTTCTCCAGATAGAGCTCTTATTGGTTAACTATGCAATCAGGCAGTGCTAGTGGTAGGGGAGTTGAGTTAGGGTTATCATGAAATTGTCTTGAATCAGGCATGGAATTGGCCCTTTTTTCAAATATGGTGAAATGTTCTTTATATTGGATAAAATCATAAAGCTTGGTTGTGATTACTATACTTCCTTCATGTTATGCGCCAATTGTGTACATATTCTGTTTGTTTGCGTGCAAATTCATGGTTATGGTTTTGTTTGAGTAGATAAATTTTTAGCTACATAAAGCTAAAAAATCATAAACCTTGGTTATGATTACAATATTTCATTCATGTTATGCAACAGTTGTGTACTTATTATGTTTGTTGGTCAGAGCTCTGTGCAAATTCATAGCTGTGGTTTTGTTTGAGTAGATAAATTTTTGGGAAAATTCCACTTTAGTACCCTGAACTTTGGGGGTAGTGTCAAGTTAGTGCCCGAATGTGTCACTGCATTACCTAAACTTTCAAAAAGTGTCAAGTTGGTCCCCACCGTTAACCAACCGTCAATTATCTTGAAAATGTCAAAACTACCCTTTAAAACAAGACACTGTTCATTATCATTGTCTTCTACCTTGAGACTGAACCAGTTGAGGTGTTTGAGATTCTAGACTAATGAAGTCATTGTCTTCTACCTTTAGATCTGAAAACATTCTTGTCTAGTTATTTCTTTGCTTTCATTATTGTTTCCCTCTATCATATTTCTTGTTTTTCTCTATTTTTCTTTGAAAATAACTGGTTCAGTCTCAAGGTAGAAGACAATGAACAGTGTCTTATTTTGAAGGGTAGTTTTGACATTTTCAACAGATAACTGACGGTTGGTTAACGGCAGGGACCAACTTGACACTTTTTGAAAGTTTAGGTACTGCAGTGATACGTTTGAAAGTTCGGGTACTAACTTGACACTACCCCCAAAGTTCAGGGTACTAAAATGGAATTTTCTCTAAATTTTTTAGCTATATCTAATGATAGATTCTGTCCATGATTCTCATATTTTGGAAGCATCCCTTTATTCTGGCAGATAAGTGAATATTCCAAGAACAATGTCTGTTTCGTCATGTTTCTGGATGAACAGACCATGGCAACATTGTCCTCAGAGGGACATGTTCCCAATGATAGAGGGTACATTGGTTTATGGAGAACAGTTGTTGTGCGGAATCTACCATACGTGGACATGAGGAGATCTGGAAAGGTGCCAAAATTTTTATCACACCGGCTCTTCCCATCGGCTAGGTAAACATGTGTATTATCTTGTTGAGTTTATTCTGGATTATTACAATTTCTTGGACGAATCTCCTCTTTGTAGATTCTGTCTTTATCAAAATTGTATTATGAATAGGCTGTTTAACATAAAAAATGATAATGATAATGATGAAGAACATGTTCTTGATATTTATTGCCTGAACATGTTAACTTTATGACCACACTCTTCACTCATTTCTAAGTCACTTATTGACTCTACCTTGTGATATTGGTAGAGTCAATAAATGCCTTAGAAATAAGTGGGCCATGTGTGTTATACCTGTAGTATATTACCTGGATAGACATAATTTTCTCTCCTAATTTCTTTTTGTTATTCATGGTCTTGTATTTCCTAATTTCATTTCTTTGTGCTCTTTACAAGCTACTACTTAAGCCTCTTGGTATGCATGTTGCACTAATTCACTAAATTGTAATTTGGAAATTGGGCTTAGGCTGCATTTGGTAAGAGTGCAAAAATCATATATGTTGATATAAATGCAAATTTGGTCAAAAAGTAAAATGCAAACTTGGTTCATTGTTGCATTGATAGATTTTGCATTGTGTTTGGTTGTGATGGGTAGAAACACGAATTTCAAGACCGGAATCTACCTCTTCTACCTTCTTTGTACAAATACATATTCTTGCCAAACACCTGCAAAACTGAACCAGAGTACAAATTCACCTTAGTTCTGCATTTGCACTCATACCAAATACAGCCTTATGGACCACATATGTTAGCCCACATACAAGGGGAACTCATCCAAATTTTGACAGGTCCTGCCTGGGGGCATCTCATAGACCATATTGTCTCAGACAATATTAATCAGCCAATCTATGTGTTTTATGGCTACTTTTTTATTAGAAGAAATAATGCAATAGAGTTAAACCGATTGACTAATTGATGTGTAAGAGAGATTTCCTCAGTTGGATCCATAAAATGTTGCATCCTGCTTCCATGCACCTAAGGCATCTATTTATATATTGGTTTTAGTCCTTATGGTATCTTCAATTATTTTTCAGGTATTCTATTTGGCTTGACAGCAAAATGCGACTTCACACTGATCCAATGCTAATTATTGAATACTTTTTGTGGCGAAAGGGATCAGAGTATGCTATTTCAAACCATTACAGTCGCCACTCTGTCTGGGAGGAAGTACTCCAAAATAAGCGCCTAAATAAGTACAATCACACAGCTATTGATGAACAGTTTGCGTTTTATCAGTCTGATGGTTTGAACATCTTTGACCCATCAGACCCAAATACTCCTCTTCCAAGTTGTGCGTGCATTTGGACTTACTTTCTTTTTTTCTTTTATATTAATTTCAAAGATGTGCCTTTTTCCTTTGGTTCCTTTCCTTTAAAGTAGGACAAATTTATCATACTGAACTATTTCCTACAGATGTACCTGAAGGTTCCTTTATTGTGCGGGCTCATACGCCTATGTCAAATTTATTTTCATGCCTTTGGTTCAATGAAGTTGACCGCTTCACCTCACGTGATCAACTTAGCTTTGCATATACATACTTGAAACTGAGGAGAATGAATCCAGATAGGCCATTTTCCCTCAATATGTTCGAGGTAAAGTTTGTTCCCTAGGAACCTCCTAGTATTGTCCTGCTTGTATATCTGTTTTTCTTTGGCATTTGATTTGGTGACTTCTGGACAAGCACTTGTACAAGGAGCAATTTTCTCTGAGACGTTACATTTAAACCAGCACGTCCCCTCAAAAAAAAAAAAAAAAAAAAGAATGCGTAGAAAATTTGTATTCAATCGTCAAGGATTGTAATTTGTATGCCTTGTAAATAATATGGCTGCGATAACACCTTTTTTCTACTTTACTGTTATTAATAATACCATTGGTTAGAAACAGTGTTATTTCACATTATTGAGTTCTTTCTTGGAGTACACCCTTTTCTCAACTTAGCACAGTTAATAGGCCGTGGGGTCAATTTAGAGTTTAAACACATTGCAAGCAACAATCTAACACTCATCCCTCTCTACTGGGATACTATTTTTAACTCTCAAAATAATTAAAAGAGAATGAGAAGAAAAACGATTTTGTTGATATGCATGTTATGGATTCTTTGAAACTTTCTGCTTTCGTTGACTGATTGTATTTGTGCAGGATTGTGAGCGCAGGGCACTAGTTAAGTTATTCCAGCATCGGACGACGCTATCACCTCCACCTGCTGCACCTTGATCACTACAGTTGTCTTGGCATTTTGGCCTGTTTCGTTGATGAAGCACTGATCTCCCGCTTGGTGGGTCCACGGAACAACAGGTAGTCTTCATGAAATCTGGCAACTCTGGTACTATGATAGTATGATGCATGAATTGGTAGATTATCTTGAGAGACAACCATGTCATCGGTATCATAATAATTGCCTGTTTTATAGGTTTGTAAAGTGTAAACACGATTGATAGGTCTCACCTAGGAGTTTTCTTTGGCCCGCATTTGATCTAATTAAATTATCATAAAGCACGAGATTTTTGTCTTTCAGGAGCAATGAGGACCATCCACAACTCTCATTTCATGACAACAAATAAGAATGTCAGAGATGAGATGGTTTTGATCATTTGCTCAAGTTCCGGTGTTGAGGATCAAATTGTGGGATGATTGAATGACGGCCTCTCCCCTGGAGTGCCTTATGTGGCTCCACTCCATACAGCATTACAGCTAAGCTGTTTGGAACGTTCAGTTTGCTGTAAAAATATGTGCTTGATTTCCCTCTATCCTAGAAAAAATCAGAGAAAAAAAGAAAGGAAGAAAATTATTAAAAAACAAATTTTCTAATCTTAAAAGGCCTGTTTATTTTGTCAAGAAAGGTGGGTGCTTTTTAAAGACCAACAATGGAAGAAAATGGAAAAGAGAGTGTTGGTTTGAACTGAGTATTATTTCATAAGACATTTCAAGCTAGTTGTTGGAATGACCGAATGAGGGCCCAGGTGGATGTTGGATAAGAGTCCGGATCTGCTGCATCCTCAATAAAATTGGGACAGTTGTAGTTAGTTCTTGTCTTGTCCCTCTACTTCGCACAAACTTTCGTATAGAGGAGTCTCCACCTTATTGTAAGGGCTTCTGTTAAAATGAGAGCTCCCCAAATGCAAATGGATGATCTGGTAATTTTGAAAGTTTGATGGTGCCAACTGGGCACTGGCCAAGTTGTTTAGGACTCGGGCTGGTTGTAGTCTTGTAACAGTGCTGCGGAGACTTGGGTTGGGATTAAGTCCTGCAAGGGAAAATTCCACTCTATTTCTCAAACTATCAAAAGTGTCACTGCAAGCTGATGGGGCCCAACAGCCTACGCTGTTGAGAGAATTTCTGAGAATGCCACGTACGTTACCATGAGAATGGGTAAATTAGTAATTACATCTTAATCTATTTTTACTAAAAATCAAAGCATGGGCGTGAATAGGTGAACTGCCCAGAATGTGTTCAGCTCAGGAACTGTCTCAACAGCTTATGCTGTTGGGCCCCAACAGCCAAAGTTAAGATTCTAGACTAATGAAAATCTTGTCTTCTACCTTTAGATCTGATACACATTCTTGTCTAGTTATTCTTTTGTTTTCAATTATTGTTTCTTTCTATCATATTTCATGTTTTTTTTCTTTCTTTGAAGATAACCAGTTCAGTCTAAAGGTAGAAGACAATAAACAATGTCTTCTTTTGAATGGTAGTTTTGATATTTTCAACAAATAACTAACGACGGTTAAAAGTGAGGATCAATTACATTTTGAAAGTTTAGGTACTGCAGTGACATGTTTGAAAGTTCGGATACTAACTTGACACTACTTCCAAAGTTCAGGGTATTAAAGTGGAATTCTCTTTTTGAAATTAGAGTTAAAATGAATGGGACAGGATCTACTTACGACACAGTAAGCACGTTCAATGATCACTTAATAAATATTTTGACAGCTGTCAAAAGTTTTTAGCGAGAATGACTGTTCAGCCAACCTCAGAATTTTAGCCCCACTGTACAGGCGGGACGAATCTTGACTGTGGATTGATGTCAAATCCACGGGCAGGATGCGGTTTATAAGGGGGCTACTAGTAGACTATTGGGGGCTATAATTTTAGAATTCTGCAGTGGGCTGCAGTGTATTTCGAAGTTTTTAATCTTTTTCAAGGTAGGCTGAGAGTATTTTAAGGGACAGGTGTTAAAATATTTTTTAAATGTTTATTGAATGTGCCGGACTGAAAATGAAGGTGGTACATGTTAAATCTTGCAGCAGAATTGGGCTGGGGGGGGGGGGGTGATTTTGGCTGTTTGAGCCAACGGCCTGGGCAGTTGGAATTTGGAAATGTCAATGTAAAATTGTCATATATGAAAAGGAAATAATTGGTGGATATTAATTATTTATATTTTAGATTTTATTTATTAGCTAGAAGTGCCCTCATCCCTGTAGAACCCCACAAGCCCAATTTAAGGGGATTAGATCCCAGGCCTCTGCTACAATTAGCTGGAGATCTTTGTCAGCAATATAGTTGGGCAGTCCATATGCAAAGAACCTGGGTAAAATCAAGGTTCAAAGTATCAATATGAATCGGCCTTATTGGCCGATACGTATTGTGCCAATGGCTTCCCAATATGTCCTTTTAGGAATTATATTGGATCAGCCACTGGTTCAGAGGATAGTTGGGCCTTAAACTGATACCTTTAAAGTGGTTTTAAAATAAATAAATAAAATTTTTAAAAAATATCGATATAGGCCGATTAAGTATTATTGGGTGGTCCAAATAATACATACAAGCATCACATGATCCATAATCCATTTGGTAGACCATGATAAAGTATTATTGGGTGGTCCAAACTTTACTATTGGCAATGATTGTACTATGAGCAGTTGATTAATAAATTTTGACTTATCAAGCTTCGAGAAATTACATCACTGCACAAGATGGGGCTGCTAATACATGATTCAGTTATGCTTGTCTATATTTGTCTATACTAATAACACCCTTTGTCTTCTTATTTTTTCTCTTTAGCGTTTTTTGCTTCTCAACATTAATTACTTTCCTATCTCTAAACTCTCATTGGCAGTTAATTCCACTATCCTTTATTAGATTTTTTTTTCCTACTGGAATCAGTTTAGTAGAGGAAGGGACCACGGATTGCCAGGTCTAAAGGGCTCAAATACTTGAATAGCAGTACATAAAGGCCCTAACTCAGTAATTATCAAGCCATGGTTAGAAGGTAACGAGGGTGAAGGCGGGAATTCCACCTAGTTTTGGGAATGTAATTTGGGCAACCCAAGTCCATCTCAAGGTAACGGTACATCAACTCCATACCCAAGTAACCTAAGCCAAACCCTAACCCAACCTGATCTTAGAATATAATATGTAACCCTAACCCATCCCAAATAACTCAGTTTTCATTATTAGGTTGGGTTGAGTTAGCCATGACAAAGACCCAATTTTGTTTTTGTGAAATGATTCTATTTTTGTCTCATTAAAAATTAAAATCACATAACTAGGACTATGAGCAATTGTGGATACTCGCCTTGGGTTCTGTACTTCTGTATTGCCATGTTGAGTAATTGTGGGCAATACGCCATGTGGGTTTTTATTATTGAATAATGTTATGCGTCCCATTCAGTGGGAACAATCCAAATGTTCTGTTTTCCGCTTTTGTTTTTCTAATATATACTACTTGTGAATTGTGACCCGTAAGATGCATGGACTTTGTTAAAAGAAATAGTGGCATAAGAAGCTTTGTGACAAGGCTAAATCTAACCTAAGCATTTTTTGCAGTTATGTAACATGTATTATCAGATAAATTTGTGTTAATTTTAAAGTTTAAATTTTCTAATTTATCAAAAAGGCACTCGTGGTATAACAAATGTTTTTTTTTTTTTCCTTTTATTTGTTGGAGGATGCATGGACTGACATTCATATAATAGTTAACACCAAAAGGAAATTATGTATGAGATTGTAGTGTCATATGGCTTAACTGACATGTTTCACAATAAATAAATAAAAGGACCCACGTATCTATGTTTAAGGTGATTAACTTTCTCTTACCTAGATTTGTAAATACTAAATAGGTACATGTCAAGTTGACACCCACCATTTCATCTTCTTCGCCCATTAGTAACTTTATACAGACATATACCTCCATTTTTTTTGGTAATGAAACCAATAGTCCAATACCTCCATTGTGGTTATTATTGATGACTAACAATCAATCATACGATGGCAAAGACACTGCTGAAAACCAGCAATAGCATTAAAAAATGACAACACATTGGACCCAAGAACGTTTAAAATAAGAAATCCTCAGGATACTTTTAGTATGTATTTGGTATAGCTTTCATTTATTTATTAAATGTTTGTATTTGATTTATTTGCAAAACTGAGAAAAGTAATAATAAAATCGTTTATTGACAATTAGACATCATTACGCGTCACTAGGCATTAGATGATAAAAACAGTGAAATTTGGCTACTTATTGGGGGGAAGCACTACAGTGAAGCTTCCCTCAAGAGTGGGTGTGCATATAAATCGATGCCTATTTTTGCAAGTCTCTATGCATATAGATCCGCACGATGGGCATAATGTTGAAGTGGTGCCTATGTGGCAGCACTTGTTGAATAAATGCCCACAGTTCCAAACACTGATTTAATCTTTCCTGGGTGTTTCCTTTCAAAATCAAAATACAATAGTAAAAAATCAATGAAAACCAATATCTTTCAACCACAAATTGTTATTGTGCAAATTCGGCATCAGTTTAAGAGTAGGAAAAAATAAACAAATAAAAATACAATGGAATTTAGCGGGGACCTTGCTTAATTGATATTTGTTAAACACAGTTGCAACCTAGAAATTCAAAGAAAGAGGTATGCATGAAAAAATTAAGAAAACAATTACAATCACATTTATATGACAGGGTAGCACCAATAATCATTTTTCTCTTTTTAATTTACAAAACAAACATTAGAAACATTCTTGATATCTGATGTATGAATTAGAATTTCCAATGGATTCCCTTGCCTCGGCCTAAACTAGGAACAAACTGATCCATGACCGCAAGCATCAGAAGGTTGTCGCATCTCGACCTCTTCTTTAATTGTGGGCATTAGTTTCCTCTCTCCAACAAATGTTCTATAAGTAATGAAAAACAAAGCAACCATGTCAAACAATTTTCTCAAATTTCTCTATACCCAAAAAGTTTGAAGCAAAACCATTTAGGGGGCATTTTTTTCTGGATTTTGAGAGAGGGAATGTTGGTCAATGGGATTTTGATTCCTGTTGATTAAAAAATTCATATTATTTTTTCAGATTTATGTGAGGACTAGAGAATACCCTCCTAGTTGGATAAATAACTTTCCCGCTTGGGGGAAAATTTGTCAACACTTGAATGAAACAAAAATACCCCTTTTAATATTAGATTTTTATGGCTAAAATGGACGTTGCCTTATTTATATGGGAAATAAAAAGAACATGAGTAAATACACATACTCGGATAAGTCTTTCATGTGAAACACTTACTTGGTAAATGCATTTACTTGGATAAATAACTCACTAAAAAGCGACGAAGACTTAATTTGCACAAATGGTAAGTCATAATGAAGAGAATGGGAATGTCAAGAAACCCACCTAAATAGGTAGTGCGCATCTCCATATGCGTTCCTCTTAAATAACTACGAGCATGACCTTCTTCAAGGTCTCATGATTTATGTTGGGAGGGATCTGGATCCTAAGTTGTAGCTTTCTTGCTTGGATTTTTGTGCTAAAGATATCTTTTCATTGATTGAACATGTATCTATTAGTGATCAGCACAGGAAAAAGAAGGCAATATTACTGGCATTTAATTGATTAAAACTTCATATATTAATCGGAATTGAATTGAGGTTTAAATAGATTACAAAAGGAGATGAGTGAGATTTCAAATCCTTCAAGGACATATTCATTATTTGCAATTAGAGTTATGAGGTAGATGTCCATCAAGTCTTGTCATAAACAATCGATCTTGAATCTCCTGTAATGCAAATGTTGCTGAATAAGAGCCATTAAAATTTAAAACTATTATGAGAACCAGAGAAAATTAAGGACAGAAAAATTATGTTGTTTTCTAACAGTTTTATACAACCAAACAAACGAATCTATCATGTCTTTTCCTCACAAATTCGAGAGCCGTCTCTTAGCACCTTCTCAGGAAAAATAAAAACCAAATTATAAATAGTTCACAGAGAGAGATAAGATATACAATGTTAAACCTCGCAAATGGACACCTTTCTAACTCAGGTGATGAACACGGATGAGGTGATTCAACCCATTCAATTAAGGAAGTAAATGATATGAACTCACCTCATCTCTCCTATGGCTCCTCCTCCTTTGGCTTCCATTCTTTTGCAAAACGCAACCCAAATCTTCTTTTCAAGTGAAACCCATGAAGTTTTGAAAAACCTTTTCTTAGAACAAAGAAAAGAAAACCCATTACACCATACTATAGAAATTGATGTCTGTCGACTCTGATCCATAAAAAGACTGGCAAGAAAAAGAATCATGGAGATTTGATATTACCAGTCTGTCTCTACTTCTTGATCCTAGACATTGTACCTGCTGGATTGTTGATGGGGACAATGGAAGCGCTAATTGAATAGGTATGTTGATGAGAAGAGGTAGAAAAGCATGCATAAGAGGTGCATTTTCTAAGCTTTGGATTTACATGTATGAGACATGTATTCTATAAGCATAAAAGTTAAAAGGTTAGAAGAGTAACAAAAAATACATGGAGAAAAAGTTGTTGATTTGGCAACTTGTGAGACTTAGAAAGGGAATAATGGAGATCCTCTAGAATTATAGATTTGGGGTAAAGGAGAAAGTAGAGGCCATATGGCACGGTCATCTTTGTTTTAATATACTAATAGATTCCACCATCATAATAATACTTCTCCAAAGTTTTGCTATTATTAATGAGTTACATCTATGGTAATACAATCATACACCATTTATCAAAAAAAAAAAAAAACTTGGACTAACCAACTGAACACCACTCGGTGGTGTGTTAGCTGGTTTGTTCCAGTGTTGACATAGAATCAAATCCTGCAACCAGCACTTTGGGAAAAAAGGATTTATTCCAGTGTTAACTGGTTTTATCAATTCAATTTCTGAAAATCTCAACCCAATTTGGACCAAAATTCAGTTAGGTCAGGTAGCCTATAATTGGATCAAATATGGATCCACCTTGTCTATCCAACAAGAACATATTTGATTTGCTTTAACCAGAAATGCTTATATACTTTTTATTTGCATCTTTCAGTAAAATCGATTTGAATGATCTGTTTTTACTCCAACTTTTCACAAGTTATCTTCCATTTATTCGATATCAAAGTCGTTTATCAGTAAAATATAATATTTGATTATTTTTAATACAATTTATTATTGTTATTGAATATCTAATATCTTCGGAGTCCAATATATTACGGATAAGATTTTGAATATTAACAAATCAAATTTTGGATGGGATCCCATCCATTTGAAGCCCTAACCCTAGACTGGAGTCCAACATAGCCATTTGGATGAAATTCTGATCTACTGATCATAATGCATTGCTGGTTACATTCACCTAACTACCTATTAGAAATATTAATTATGTTTTATATCATTTATATTCCTGATGTACGACTGGATGAACATAATCAACAATGTATTGTCATTAGCAGATCGGGGCTCGTTTGGATGAGGTTACGAGCTTGTCTTGTAAAGAAGAATCTTTGCCTCGTAATAAAGCCTCAAGCCCGTGACTAGTCTGTACTCTGTACATCAGATTATATATTGTTTAGTCGCCTATCAAAATTTAGAAGAAGAAGAGGAAAAGAAAGAAAGATTCTATTACTTGTTAGTCTGTACACTGTACTCCTGCAGTAGCTAGCAGCTAAGATAGACGCAGACTCGCTATAGGCTACAGGCCACAGCTGGTGATAACGGAAATGGATTATCATGGCAGGCAGATGCCACCACTTGACACTATACATATACACATATGCACGTTTTGCTTAGAAGTGGACTCTGACACTGTTTCTGCATTCTTCTAGCCTAGATTGCTCCATCTGGACTAAAAGCCAAACCTTCGAAAGTTCTATACTGCCCTCTCATATTCACGATAACTACGTTACCATCCTTAAAAGGACGACGACGTCTCAATGTCTCAACACGTGGAATATGGGCCTGAGCATGGCGCCATGGCCCTCTTCATTTAACTCCCTTTTACAAACACTTCATGTGGCCATGTGGGGTGAGTGTTAAAGAAGCTCTTAAAATAGGTCCAGCTGCAATATTAAGTCAACGTCACCGCTCATCTTATATGGGCCTTAGTGCAGGTTCGAAGAGGGTTTTGTAAATTTTAAAGTCTATCAACCTCACTAAACCCTTCGAAATGAAAACGCAAAACCCTTTCCAATTTTCATTTTCGTCGTATTTAAGATTACGGTGGATTAGGTTTAAAATCTATATCTAACTTCTGGAAAAACTTTAGTTGTTGGGGGCAACAGTATGATGTTGAGAGGATTTCTGAAAACGCTATGTTACTATGAGAATTGGATAAATTAATAATTACATTTTAATTTTTTTTTTTTACTAAAAACCAAACTATAGGCGTAAATAGGTGAATTGTCCAGAAGGTGCCCAGCCCTGAAACTGTCTCAACAGCCTATGCTGTTGGGCCCCAACAGCCAAAGTTAACTCTTAATTTCCTATTATTTATTTTTTATATATAAATAATAAATAAATAAAATAACATGAATAGATATGAAAATTTTCAATTATATGTAAAAAATATATAAACTATCAATTATATTCCATATAAAATTTAAAATATTATTAAATTTAACACCTAATAAATAAAATTCATATTCTTTCCAACTGTAAGGTCAATGAGGGTTAGGCTTTAATATCGTAGCATAGCGGTACATGTACCCATATGGAATGTAGAACCCCAAAACCCATTCATCCCACACCAAAATCTGTCTTTCAATCAAAAACACCACCCCGCCATTTGAATAAAAACATATATGATATACCCACCAGATAGGATAGAAATTGTCATTCTCTCTTTAACTACAGCAAAATTAACATGAGATACAAGATACATAATCTAAATCTGCTCTTTCATATAGTACATGCCTCACACCAACCTCATAGTATATTCTGACCGCACATCAGAAACATCTCCCATATTTGTATTTATTATTCATGGGCAGTGGGATGTGGCTGTGAGGCGCAGATCCCAATTCCAAGATACAATCATTGAAAACCAAATCATTCAGCTAAGGAGAAGGGCTAGCTAGAAATAGAGTAAACCTAAGAGTGATTGAGGATAACTACATTACCCTTCAAATAGAATGGCCCACTTTTACCGAGTTTGGATTTGATCCTCACAGAACCATCGTTCACACCGTCATCACAGCCTTTTGCATCAGTGCATTTAAAATATCTCGATACTTGTTTGTTTTTCTCAAAGGCAGATGTTCCCAATACAGCTGCAATCGTGAGAGGATGGTTTTGCGAGGAGTGAGGACCGAATCCGATTTCTTATTTATACTCTTGTTAAAAACACGTGTCATGTGGATCCGTGTTTTGGTTCAGATCTGCTATTAAGTCATCGCTCATCAGTCATCTTATAAGTAGAATATATTTTTCAGCCACATCATCGAAGCATTAACATGAGATGAAAACGAAATCATTCATTCAGCTTAGCTAGAGTGCAAACGAGATAGAATAAAATAAAAGCATAAGTGATGGAGATGCAGTAGAAATTTCAGGACTACCCATCATTAATACAGGGGTAATTTTGTCCACCAACAGAAGACGGAAAATATAAAAGTCAAAACATAAATTTTCCAATAAAAACACAGACGCACGCTGGTGTGCCGTGAGAGTAGAGGAGTGTACATGGATTCTGTTCATTCTCTCGATTCACTTGTTCTCTCATTATTCCTCTTCCTCTACTGCTGCAACTCACCAGCCTCCCCTCTCCCTTCTCTTCTTGCTCTGAACTGCAACCCACCACCTACCAACAACACCTCAACAGACAATAAAGCCATCGAAGCCCTCCTCCATAATCTAACCACTCAAGTAACAAAGACGTCGTTCGCGATCTCCACTGTGAGTCTCAATGCAAACCGATTTGACGGGATCATGCAGTGCCGACTCGATCTCTCCCCAACAGCTTGCGCCCTCTGTGTTCGATTCGCTAAACGCTCCATCTCCGGGGTATGCCCGAGCTCCGAGGCTGTCACCGCTTGGTTTGACGGTTGCTACCTTCACTACTACAACCATTACAAGTTCTCTCGCCGGATTGGCATTCCAGTGTCGACCCAGTCGAGCCAGATTTATGTCATGGACAGGGCTAAGTTTCAACTTGCCCTTCAGACTCTCCTCTTGCAGCTTAGAGCTGGAATCAGTCTTCCCTCGCATCTTGGGTTTTTCAATGGAAAGATTCTATATGGAGCCAACAGCAGTAGGGTCTACGCGCTTGCGGAATGCATTCGGTCAGTGCCGCTGAAGGAGTGTGAAGTCTGTATGGATAAGGGAATAGAAAAGCTTTATGAGTGCTGTGGTGGTAGGGAGGGAGGGGTTGTTGTAGCTGGGGATTGTGTAATTCGATTTGAGACGTACCAGTTCTTCTCAGGTCAAATGTTTTATGCCGGTGGGTCAGATTCCGGTGGTTGGTCAGGAATCGTGAGTTATGATGAGAGTGAAAACGGTAATGGTTGGCAGGGTCTTAAAGTCAAAGTAGCTTGGGGATGGTTTGTTGGAGTTGCTTGTCTTAGTGGGCTTGTTCTGGGAGCTTGGTTGTTGAGAAGAAAGGTTGTGAATAGAGCTAAGGTAGGCATAGCAGGGACTGAGAATGGTGACAAAGTAGAATGTAAAGTCGTGGCTTGAAAAGACTGGTGTTTGTACGTTTAGTGATGATTATTATGGCACTGTCTGTTTGCAATGCAATTTCATTTGCATGTACTAATACAAATGGATGGGAGTGCAATGTGCAAATGAGAATTTTGCAAAATTTGGGTTTTTTTTCTTCAACTTTTACATTATTCTGCTTTAATTTTTCATTTTAGTTCATTGCACTCCAAATGCCAAATAAACAGAATAAAGCGAAATCCATAACAAAACTAAACCAAAATTGGGTTCTTAATTCATTTGCACTTCAATATTTTTGAACCAATGAAAATGACATTCCACTGGAAACAAACAAGGCCTAAGATGTAAATTAACTGAGTCGATTGTATTTTGAAGAGGACAAGTTAATTAAAAGCAAGTTCATTCACTCTTCTAGCTTTTAGTTATAATTGATTGTTTTGATTATTTTTATTATGGCGGAAGCCAAGAATAATAACTTGAAGACTAGTCAAAATGAGATAATATGAAAGAACAATGTATATATAGGAAATGCAAAATTATCATACCAGCTATATTGCTAAAATAATGAATCAATAACAAATTAAGAAGTAAGCATAGACAATTGAAACACGGAAGACATAATTATATTCTACAGGTTTCCTGATTATATTCCCAAGAAGGTATAAGTCAATGTTTATGCAAGGTTCAAAATTTAGATACAGTATGCCTAATATCCAGTATCTTTTTGGTTCTATACACTTATTGAAAGGGTGTTTTCAATAAACTTTTTTTAGAAAAACTAAAACGTATAAAAAAGCCCAGCTGAAACTTAAAAAATAAAAAATAAATAAATAATGCAAGGTTTAAAGTATTGATACACCCCTTCTAAACTAACACATATTAGGGTGTATAGATATTTTGAACCGTGTGTGCATGTATGGTTTTGTTTTTACAAAACAACAACAATTAGGGTTTTAGCCCTTGGGTTTTAATTAAGAAGATGTTGAGTTGTTAGAGGCGATTAAATTCCTTCTCATAGTAGAAACGAACTGTGTTTGGTTATCAGAAAAATAAAAAATAAGAGAGGAACAGAAATTTAAGTGAAAAGATATTACAAAACAACGAAATAGATTTTTTTAGGTTGAGAAAAAACAACTCAGGATCACCTGTCCACAAGAACTCTGCCCACATCTACCTATAATACACTACCCCCGTGAAATGAGAATATCTCTCCATACATAATACTATGTAGGAGAATGAGATGTTTTCCACATGTGACTGCGATTTTATGTAGATAAACGTGGGCAAAGTTTGTGTGAACAAAAAATCCAGACTCAGAAAAAACATGCAGATCATAGATCTTTGGCCCTTTTGGGGGGGTGGGGGGAAGGGATATATACACATTTCAAAAAAACTCCCCACCTGATTTGAGTCCCACCTATGAGAACTGGGAATCTTTTAGGTGGTGTCCCAAGTTCAAATCCTATCCTTAATAAAGTTGAAACCTCTACTCGTAACCGTGTCCCAAAAGCACGATCTCTACCGCATTCGCTCTGAGTAAAATATTTGACATGCTTACTTTTACAATACTTGTAAGATAGTCAGAAATATCAAATATTTAATCTTTTTACACGTGGTGGAAAAGAAAAGAAATGGGGTATATTGGTCGTCATTTAGAACCAACCAGTGGATCCGGAGTCTGATCGAGGCCAAGTAGCCAATTCAGTGATGATTTGAGCTAGGCAGCCTAGGGTCAAGTGTATCTTTTCACTATTTCTTTCTTAGGTAAATTATAAAGACCTTCTATTATGAGGTCAGTGACTAAGATCCCCCAATACTTTTTTCTGTGATAAATACCCCTTAAACTTTGGTTGCTAGACAAAGATCGCTCTTCGTCAGCATTCATCAAATATATTTGAAAAAGATTTTATTGTTGCAGTTATTATATTTTGTAATTCCTAAATTGCCCTTATGATAATTTTACTCATATTATTATTTACTCTTAGCTTATAAACGAAGTCCCCACTTTCTTCTCCACTATGCCGAAGCATCTAAAGCTGCCACCCTCACGTATAGATCTTGGCTATTGTCCATGATGTATTCTTGAAGATTGATCAGATCATCAACCCAAAACACACAACAATCACTTTCTATCTCCAGTGATTTTGGTATTCACATAAGCTATACAATAAACAACTTGCCTGTTCCTCCATTCTCTTAGGCTATGTTTGATTTAAAGAAAAAAGTAGGAAAAGGAAAGGGAAACCTTTACAAATCTGGTATAGGTTTTCCTGCATCTTCCTTCCTTTTCCTACTCTTTCCTTCAAACCAAACATAGTGTTAGTGTGGGATGGGGTGCTCTTCCATTCACTGTTTTACACGTTATTTATCTACAACAGTCAAGTCGCATACGGGTGAAGCCATTAAACGGCTGATTGCCCCTCCCGTTATACTTTTATTTATATAATATAAAAATTAAAAAAATATATAAAAATAGATTTGGCTGATCAGTTCGACAAAGAGGACAAAAGAAACAAAAGAAAACATTAAAGAAAAAACCCTAATTATTTCTTCGAGTAAAGAGAAAACCCTTTTTTTTGAGAAAATTCAAAACTTCATACATCGTACCAAAAAAGCTCTATGTTTAATCTCCTTAATCATTGCAAACATGGTTTTATATATAGGTTCTGCTGATCAACCTTTAGCATTTTCAAATCGCTGACAAGAAAAAAGCAATTGGAATCGCGTTTTCTTCGTAATCTAACAAGTCAATTTATTGTGATGTTATTAAATAATAAAAAAGAAAAAAAAAACAATTAATAAGGTAATTTCTAAGTCAATGATATATATATATATATGAACATACATTATCAATTTTTAGTGTGGGCTGATTGATTAACCCAAACCTGACCTAGAGCTGGGCCTAACTTGAATGCATCAAATTTTACTGTGGACCAAGTTTAGATTGAATACTTCAGACCTGATCTCGGACATGGGCTCGGCTTGGGCTTCAGGCCCAATTCTTATGATTGGAGCTGGATTGAGGTAAAAATCGGCCCACTGAACTTGCACCCCTAAGGCTTTTTTTTTTTTTTTTTTTTGCGATTGTGAACTTTGGACCAATGTAATATTGCACTCTTCTCTGGTTTTGCAGGCATTTGGTAGAGGTGTTAATATAAATCATGAAAAGTTTACATCAATAAAATTTATGTAAAACTTTCCCTTCTTCTCTATCGAAATAAAAACTTGTTTCATCTCCTCTCTTCTTCTCACCGGATATAATACAACGGTCACCTCACATCTACCTTCCCTATCGTCAGTCGATCTCTTGCGACTCTACCTACAACAAAAATGTGTCTGATAATCTGCAATTGTTCTTCCGCGATGCCCAGTATGAACCTTTTGTTGATTATCAAATGAAATGGATACAAATGGGTATGCTAATCCGGTCTCCGTTTGCATTCACCTAAACAGGCGTGTGATTTAGGGGTGAGCATTATTCGGTTAAAATCATATTATCTAATCGAAAATTTCAGTTTTGGTTTTTCGGTGTTGGGTAATTCAGTTTGAGTTTCAGATTTAGAAATCCGGTTAACCAACAGTATGTAATATATAATATGTTATATATTTATATTTTAATATATTATAATGAAATTAAATGTCATAATATATATTATAGGTATAATATATAATATTATATATTAATTAAATTCGGTCTTTAACTAAAAACCAAACCAAAAATTTCAGTTCGGTTATCTTGGTTTTATTGTAACTCGGTTTTCATTTTTTAATTTCGATTTATTCAGTTCGGTTTTTAACCGAACAAACTGAATGATCACCGCTACGTGTGATTGATTTCCATGGTACATATTTGCATTTACTCCACTATCAAATACAGCCTAAGGCCCTAACAACAAGTTTGGGTTGTAGTCGTGGCGAGGGATGCAAACAGATCAATCAGATTTGAATTAGGGTACATTCGAATTCGATCTGACATTGTCCATGTCGGATCCAATATGATCAGATCTGGTAGGACTCGATTTGGATTTGAATCCCATCAATAAGTCAGGTCTTCGAATCTAATCCAATCCAACTTGTTTTTCTTTAAAAATCAATAAATTATTAAAAGAAAAATTAAATATACTAATTTAAATAACACAAAAACAAAAATACAAATATTTTTTAAATTATTTTCATCATATATATACATGTTTTTATAAAAAAATAAATAATATAATAAATTTATAAATAAAAAAATAACGTATATATGTATTATATATATATATATAAATATAATATACATCAGATAGAAATTATCCGAACCCCACCCGATTTTTAAGCGGATCCTATTATTCGATCCGTTCCGAAAATCCGAACAGGATGATCCGAATTCGACCAAATAGGATCGGATCATTTACACACCTAGCGCAGGGAGTCTCAAAAATAAAACGTTTTCAAACTACATTATTAATAATATCCTTCCACAACCCGAAAATTTGTGTCGCACTCCTGTCACGGGGGTAGTTTGTGTCAGACCGTGACACTCCGGCACTCGCACTGTCGCACAGTGGCAGGGTATTCGAGTCATGGGAATCAAAAATATAAATTATCAACACATTCCGTTGCCGGGATTTGAACCCGGGTCTCCTGGGTGAAAGCCAGATATCCTAACCAGGCTGGACGACAACGGAGATATGAGCAACAACATATAAATATTATGATATAATATCTTTTAATCTTTTCGTCTTTTCGGCCACTTCAAAACCGATGTTCCAAGGGACTAAAATGTTAAATACTGCTATTACCGAAAGAACACTGTAACAGCAATGGCGACGGAGCTCGAGGAATTGTTAGGCTTTCTATCATGTCCTTCCCCACAGGTAAGCTTCTGTTACTCAAGAGTTTATCAATTAATTCCATGAGAGTTCCGTTGTGTTTTCTTGATTCTTCTCCGACCAATCTCTTTCATGGTTTAAGTAAAAAAATTACAGAATCTAAATCCATTTAATTAGAACTCCTCCCGGTTTTAACCAGTTATTGGAGAGAACCCATACAAGTTAGGTTGCATTTGGAATGAAATGTCCACCACATAAGCACATTAGGCTGACTTTGAGACTGCCTAGCTTACCCTGATAGTCCAGACACGAACGTTGAAGCTTATGTTCATCGAATCCACTAGATAGAAGCTGGAACCGGTTCTGGTTTATATTGAGGCTTATGTTTTCAACATCTATGGAAATTTTGAAGTTAAGCAGTTCTCGTCTTTACTTAGCCGCTATGTTTCATTTGAGAAGGCTTATGTGAACCGCTGAACCTGTTCTAGATGAACGTTAATCGTCAAAAAATCATATTTGAATGGCTTGCTCATTGAAGTGGATATATTCATTTTGTATCTCTGAACAGGCGGACGAATCTCTATATGATTCATTTTTCATATGATCGATTTATGATTGTAGGGCTTTCTTTTTTACTGCACTAATTGTAAAAGGATGTACAGATAAAAAAAACAGCTGTTGATATAGTTCGGGATTTAACTGGTTCCGATGATGGCATGCTGTCTCTTTCACGCTACTCGGAGATTCTGCTACCTTCACTCTCCCGTCTATTAGGTGAAAAGAAGGTGCTTTGAGCTGCTTCCTGTTTCATTTCCAAAAGGAATTGTGAGGTTCTTTTATATTGAGAAAATGTTAACTGAACTTCAAAGCGTTGCAATTTTAGGTTAAAGACAACATATTCATATAACTGAAGAATAAGATTTACAAGATAGAAAGCCACTGCGCCAACCCACCTAATCATAAAGTCACTATTAGTGAGCCATGGTGCAGGAAACTAACATTACATGAACGTTCCATTGCTTATATTTTTAAGGACTGTCAAAATAATATTTTAACCTACAAGGGTTAATTTTTGTTGCCAACCTTTCAGGATGTTTCAGAGCGGGCAGCTGAAGCTCTTATAAATCTTTCACAAATTTCAGAACTATCAGCAAAGATGGTTGCAATGGGGATGATTAAAACAGCTATGGAGATGCTATATAAACAAGATTGCAGCATTGCTCGATTATTGATTATGCTTCTAGTTAATCTTACACAGTCGGATGCGGGTATTGCATCTTTGCTTCAGGTGTTGTTATTGATTTCCCGAAGTTCATGCTATGTTGCCAACGTTCATGTAATTAGTACCAGAAGCATGTTTAAAATTTAATACATTAACAAGTACAGTATTCAATGCTCCTTACCTTATAAGCCAAGATAAGAAATGAGTATGAATATGTTTTGAATTTTGACAGCAGCAGGAGAATGCTCTTGTTATCTACAATATGCATTTTTTTTTTATTTCTTTTAATTGGGAACATGCTGTATTATGATTTCATGCTTTTCAGACTGGAGATGACAAAATACAAGGATTATATGTTATGAAGCTTGTGAGATCATTCTGTTCTTCATCAAGTGAAATGAGAGGTATATTTAATGACACCTTACTTTTTCCTATTTTTGATTGATAACCCCTCTATTTATTTTAGTGCTTGTAATATTTTAACAATAATTAGTTTTGCATTCGTTGTCTCAAGAAGGATTCATACTTCGGACTGGGGCTCAAGTTATTCTACCTTGAACTAATAATTAGTTTAATATGCCTGGTTGAATTCTTGCTCTGCTTTTTTGGTTATTTTCTTTCCCGTTCTTGTTTTTGTTGCTCGTATTATTAAATTTTTGGCAATATTTGGGATCTATCATACCTAACATAGGTGAGGAGGTGATGCCACAATTGAAGCCCCCACCACCAGGTGGCCAAAAAGAGGAAAATAGTAACACCTTCACATAATATTCATAATGTATTGTTATTACTGTAATTATGTCCCCTATTTTTAAGGTCTGACCTTCTGTTTCCTTCTATTGCATATGTTTCAGAAGATCCCTTTGAACATGTTGCTTCCATACTTGTGAACATCTCAAAGATGGAAGTAGGAAGGAAAATTCTATTGGACCCTAAGAGAGGACTTTTAAAACAAATTATTCGACAGTTTGATTCAGCAAGTCCATTGCGGAGAAAGGGGGTATGTTTGAGAAGTATCTTCTGGTGGCAGGATATCACAAACTAATTTGCCTTTAAATTCTTTGACTTTGCTTGTTATCATTCTGTGTTTCTATTTCTGGGTACATACAACTAGTAGCCATTTTTTGTGTTATTTTCTTTGTGTAGTTGTATAGAAGTACAAAGTAAAAGTTTATAGAAACATAAAGGTTTATCGAGTGGAAACCTTTTTAGCCTTTTTTGCTGAAGGTCTGGTGTTCTCCTTTCCTTTCATTTTTCTTCTCTTTTCTTTTCTTTTTTATTTTTTTACCTATACAAAATGAAGGAAGAGGTATAAAGGATCCAACACTTCGTTGGTGTAATATTAGTGCTTGTTCAAAATGTTTAGTTTTGTATTATAACCTGCACTTTTAGAAACTCTATCCTAATTGTAGGTTGAGATCACTTTAGATTGCATTCCTGTACCTTGATTTTTGAAGGAGATTCAGCTCATGCCATTAGATAAGAAAAAGGACTGCTTGAGAACTCTTTGAGGCCTATCCTTTACCTTAACAAAATTAGAGATAATATATCATAGATGCCAGTACAAATTTAGTGGGTTTCTATAGAACCCGGTCCAATTGTTGATGCATAAATTAGAGTGGATGTGGGGAGTTTCTTTTCTTAGTACTTATAACTATGTCTAATACTTTTTTAGGATAGATCCCCATTCAACACCTTTGCATTTTTGGTTTACACTCTTATGATTACATATTATCCTCTCTTTAATACAATCAGTTACAGTTACTTATAACAAGACGTCTCTCTCCTCATTGATTGAAGCCTTTAACTCTGATATGGCTAAACCAAACCTCTAAACTCTTACTTTAGTAACACCTGAAGGCATCCACAATTCTCGTAAGACGGGTTTACATGAGAAGCTGTGTAAATAATACGTTTAATTTACATTATATGGTGACTACAGAAAAGCCCAATATATGATATAGGTGTCCTACTTCTCCCCAAATCTATGTCTTATTTTGTCCCAACTATATTGGGTTGGCTACTTGAATCCTGTTTCACTATATCGTTCTGTTCAGTGCCATATCTATTGTCAAATTATGGTCACGTGATCTGAGACCCCATTCTGCTCATTTTCGGTTAATGTGGGTGACTTTCAAATTTCTGCATATTATATACTGCTATTCCTAGTACTTATTGATCTCTCATGAATATTCTCTTCTAACTATGAAGTGTGAGACATATATTCTTTTCCTTCTAATTTTTGGTATATGTTATTGGTTTTGATGGAAGCACATTTTCTCCAGGTTTCTGGGACCATTCGCAATTGCTGTTTTGAAGCTGAGAAGCAGCTACAAAATTTGCTTTTGATGTCAGAATTTCTCTGGCCAGCTCTGCTTCTGCCTGTTGCTGGAAAGAAGGTTCTTCCCCATTGGCAGCTGCTGTTGAACTTTATGTGATTCGACTTGTTATTGAACTTCAGTAAAGCCATAGCTTGTTGTTTGAACGTCCTTAGTGTTATGATTCATTTCCTTTATTCCGAAAATTAATATTGCTTTTGCCCACCTTCTTCCATCCAATTCAACTTTATGTTGCTTGTGTCTAAAACCTAGAAAAGTTTAGTTAAATATTTGGGTAGTAAAGGAACTTTTAATGGAGTTTGATACAGAAATTCAAACCCGTCATCAAAGACTGAAATCAATCTTTTTTTTTTTTTTGGAAATAGACCTTGTGCAGGACAGACTTCTATCATAGCATGGTAGCAGGAATGCACTGTTGACGGTTGTGGACATGCTCTCGCACCCATTAGTTAATGACTTACTTTGCTTCTAACCTTGGAAATGATTATTTAAAATAAAGTTTGCTGCACTCTTGTAATAAAATTATCTAGTTATTGCCTTATTGCTAAAGAAGAAAAAGGATAAGATATTGCTGCATATGTGAGGCTCTTCACCCAACATTCTGGTCTCCTGTTTCTTAGCCAGAAGAGAGAGAAAAAAAAAAGAAAAGATTAGTACCCATGTACAGCAAGGCACTATACATTGGGAATGTACAAGTAATAACAGCATATATTCAAGAGTTAGAGCTCGTGAATATATTATTTGAAGTTCGAAAATGAATTGTATCTAGTCCTCTGAAGGCCTTATAGACAGACAGCTAAGAACCTAGAGTGCCCACAGCCTTCCTTTCAATCACTTCTGCTATGTGCTCTTGTTTTCAAAGATGTGAGAATTTCTGTCCCCAAATGGTCCAAAAAATTGAAAAAGGTATTGTGTTTCATATTACTTATCTCATTTTCTAGAACCTTTCAAATGCCATTAATGAAAAAGAGCTTTAATGGTAGCTGAGAAGTATACTTTCATTCCAAAGTTCCAAGCAACTTTGCCTTTTGCTCTATATGGGGAGATTGCAATGAATAAATAAATGGTTGGCTATCTCTAGACATACTGAGCACAACATGCAATCAGTTTCATCCAACACTTTTCCCTTGTTAATATTTTCCCTGAAGCTTTCCATTTTCACGGGTCCTAAACATGAAATATACCTGGAACATAAATTGATACATTTCCATGGTTTACTTGTTCACTTTCAGCCATTTGTGCATGATATGTGAGACACCCTCTCTCTATCGACTTATGGCATGATATTTTTTGCCCTTCCAAGTAATTCTACTTTGTTGGTAGGAATCTAGTCAACATTGCATTATGTTTGGGTTACTAATATTTAATGGTCTATACTTGTTCACTTTTAGCTGTTTGAGCATCTCTTTCTCTTGTATTAAAGTTGGTTTTCCTTAATTTTGTTTGAAAGCTAAACCAGGCATCTTGTTATACTTTAACGGAATTCATAATTATTGATCTACTTTCCAGTTTTCTTTGCTTCTTATTTTCCAGTTTCTATACATGCTCACTTTACTTATTACGTGTTGCACACATTTTAAGTGCTCCAATTGTAATTTTGTACTTTATCTGATGAGCTGTATTCAGGTTTATAAGGACACATCAAAAATGCCACTTGAGCTTGGGAGTGCACTTTCAATCGAACGAGAGGCAGTGGATGATCCAGATCTCAGGGTCCAAGCACTAGAAGCTATTTATTTGATTGCTTTGCAGGTGAGATAGTAATATCAGTCCATCTGTACTTATTGTTGTCCAATTTACTATTTCCCATGGATCATGTTTCGTACTTTTGATATCCAATAGAACTGTTCCTTTGGTGATATTTGAAGTTCCATTTGACTAGAATCTTATAGAACATAAGTTTAACAGAAATGCATTTACTACCTTGGTTTCTACAGGATGAATACATGGGGCTTCTTTCCATTAGAGTTTCTATTAGTTGGCACTTCCAACTTTCAGGATTTTAGTTTTAATTTTCCCAAAAATTTGTAGCACGTAAAGTGATAATTTAGTTTACATGATTACTTGCTTTTTAAGTGATCAAGGGCAAAATGGTAACTTTGCCAGGTAATGGGAACTAACTTGAAAGAAATGGAAGCAAACTGGCCTTTCCGGTAAACTTTCAGGTCTTGTTTGTAAATGCTTATATTGGAAGTCACTTGGCTTTGCTAATTCAAGAAAACAATCTCTTTTTATCTATTAAAAAAAACAAACAAATCTCTTTTTGGATATTAGTACAATAAAGAGAATGAATAGATTTTGGAAAGATAAAAGCATTGCATGTTATATTTCCTGATGGATGGATTAATTAGATTTCTCTATTTTCCTATCCTTTTCAGTGCGGTTTTCACCTCATGAAATCTGTTACTCTTTAAGTGTTTTGACTCACATTTCTCCATATTAATTCCTTCCAGGAGGCAGGTCGACGAGCTCTATGGTCTGTGAATGGTCCACGTATACTGCAGGTTGGGTATGAAGATGAGGAGGACCCCAAAGTAATGGAAGCATATGAGCAAATTGGCTCCTTGGTATTGAACGCCCCCTTTCTTTTTCTTTTCTTTGAAAACCTTTTAAAGCCCAACCAAATGGTTGATTACTCAGCCAGTCTGGCAGAACAATTAAGATGGGCCAGGTTGAAATTTACTTGGTTTTGTAGAACTTAAAAGGCACCTAAGTTGGAGATATGACTAATTTGCTTATCAAAAACTATGACTATAATTTGTTTACAAAACCGTTACGGTTTCTAGCTGAGTCCCCTGTTGACGAGGTTATGCTCTTGCAATTAGCATGTCAAGTTCGACATTCAAGGTCTGGCTCAAGATTATAACCTGATGGGGAGGGGAGACTCAGATAACATGACTAGGTGATTTGACCAAATGGATCTTATTTTTTAGCAAAATTGACCTTAGGAGCAACCTGGTCCTACATCACTACTGTCAGGCACTTCTTTTCAACTCTGTTCTCTCATTTTCTCATAGCAATTTTATTACTAACGGGTTCTGTTGAAGCTTGAAACTAAACACTTTAGATTCAAGTAATGCAATCTTCCTGTTCTTTGATCTGCCAGCTGGTTCAAGGTAGCGAGATTGAGGAAACACCTACTCAGACGCTGAAGTAGCATTATGGTTGTTCAATAAATTAAGATTTTAAGCACTTTCAGAGAATTTCAGGCTAATTGCAAAGGCCATCGTGTCTAATTAAAACCCAAGCGGCAACTTTTGATTATCAGTTCATTTTGGAGGTTAAAACCCAAGCGATAGCTTTTAATTATCAGTTTCATTGGAGGTCAGCAGGCTTCGTGTACCCAAGGAAATTTATATTGAATCCCTAGCTTTCTTGATCTGTTGGTAGTTGTAATGAAGTAAAATGACATTTTTTGGATGTTCCAAAACAAAACTTTGATTTGTACTCTATTGATACATTGAACTTGAAATTCACAAGGGGCAAAAATAGAAGAATAACTCTAGTATTGTTTGTTACCAAGATCATGGTAGTACTGCTTAGGTTTCTTATTACTCTTGCATCTTTGAACGATTCGATGTTACGGGGGTTTCCTTACCTAGTGACCCTTGGTCTGAATTTCCATGGCAGGTGGTCCAGCCATGGCAAAAACCTTTTGTTTTAGCTAAAAGGAAATTATGCTAAAAAGGTTCAGAACTTCCTGAAAGACACAAGGCGGAAAGAAAGAAAGAAAGAGATGCATTTAACATTTTATTTTTACCTTGTATTTTCACTTCTACAAACTAAAAAAATATAAGACCATCCATTGATCTGGAAAAGCAAGAAAACTAATATCCATTAGGTCCTTGGAAATTAGTTATCAAAGTAAGATTGTCATCTTCATTAATTGTTTCCATAATGCTATGTTTCTCTTCAAACAAAACCCTGGTTTTATTTTTGATGGCTTGGAGTACTTGAAGAGCATAAATAACTCTAGGCTTGGCTTTTGTAGATGATTGTGGATTTTATTCTTATTTGTTCAATTTAAAGGATTGGATTTGGATCGGTTTCAATTGCATCTACATCTATATTTGATTATGAAGCCTCTAGATCAACATGTACATCCGAATCCGATTATTATGTAGGATTTTGGACCATATTCAAATTTAACCTACAATTATTTTGTTGTGTTTAAAATGACCACAAAATTAAAAGAACATATAATTATTTTTAGCTTTTATATGTATAATAAATATATGTAAACATAAAACTTTAAACTTATCATTTATAAACTTTATATAATTATACTTAATGTCCATAATTCCATATATACATAATTTATTAGACCTAGATCTTAATTAGATTGGAAGGGGTTAAATTTCCATCAAATTTGATGAAGGAAGATTTGGCCCGACCTTGCAATCACTCCACGTGGCAAAAACAAATAGTTCGGCACTTAAAGCAGCGTACCCAGGGCGCAAGCACCAAAGGGAAGAAACCAGCAATCCGAACTTCCTTCGAGGAGTCCGAACTCCATTCGAGGAGCCTGAACTCCCTACGAGGAGCCCGACCTCCCTACTAAGAGCTCGAACTCCCTACGAGGAGCCCGAACTCTCCCTTAGGCCCCGAGCCACACAAAGCAATGACCCGAACTGGCCCACCTCATGGCAGTTTGGGACTCTCCCCT